GTGTATAAATTTTAAGACCAAAAAAAAGGAGGAAACATAGCTAGTTCACAACATGAAATAAAGAACTTAGCTTCGAGAACATTAATCTTTAATCCAACTATACATGAGCTTTTCAGGCTTACGATTCTTTGATAAATATATAGCTTCATCTCTTGCGTTCCATTTGTATAACGCGCCGCATCTATGAATGGGATGTCCTTCATATGCCATAAAACTTTTATGATATTCCAGATTAGATCCTTTCCTCAAGTTACACTTGAATCTCGTCGTAAAAATGACACCATCATGAAAACTAAAATTATATGTATTATCTTTATATTTCACAAAATGATCGCCTAGATCATCGTCTCTGGATTTGCAATGTACTTTGAGAGTGCTTTGACTTAGAGAAAGGTTGTTTTGGAAAACCACGGTGTTTTTATGGCACTTAGTTTCATTCGATTCAAAACACAAAACAAATATAAGAAACAGAAAATTTAATACAAGATTCATTGTTTTTTTTGTAAATAAATTTTTCTCAAATCAAATTATAATTGAGAAGGTTACTAAATAATTATTAAATGTATATTTGCATGTCTTTACATATTTAAAAACTTGATGGGTTTCTCGAAGTAAATCTCAACATTTTTTCTCCGAATCTCCCCGGTTCAATGTTTGGACTCCATTTGGCAGACATATATAGAATTCAGTCGTGTTCTGGACAAAAATCTACTTTAAATAGACTTTTATTTGTTGCCATCAAAAAAAGGTTTATTTATTTAATATAGAAAGAGTGTCATTTATTTTTAATTTCATTTTATAAAGAGTGTTATTGTGTATTTTCAATGTAAAATATTAAATAAAAATCCAACTTCAATATTGTATTGGGTTGGAATAAGAAATGTTTTTTAAATATTAATAAAAGATAATATAAAACTTTTCTTAATATGTATGAGATGTGGCAAAGTGATACTTTTTGTAAATTAGAGGAAATAAATAGTATCTCAGTGTTTTTAGTTTTTCTTTTTTCTTTCTTTCTATCAGTTAATGCAACTATTAAAATTTTAGTCAATTAATAGAAAAAAGATGTCATCTTTCTGATTTCCATTAAAACGCACAAGTTCCTAATTATTTTGAATTTTACAACTAAAAATTAGTCGTCAATTTTATTTTTCCAATTTAAAATATACAAAAACTTACAAAACAGAAATATATGATATCAAAATTGTTTGTTTCTGCATTACTTGTGATAGTAGTATAAACAAATTAGACATCAGGATTTTAATGTGTGAATTATTTTATTTTTCTTTTTAAAATAAGGGAGAGTTTTCAGATTTAACCCATATTTCAAAGTCAAACACAAAACTAACCTCTTTTTTTTTCTCTCTCCAACTTTTGTTATTTTCTCACAATTTTATCTTTCCCACTTAAACTATTATCGAAAATGCCATTATACATCTAATAAATCGATTTTTCTTTAATTGACTAAAGTCTTCTTGGACCTTCTAAAGACTTTTTAATTACGAGAATGCCATCGTCTTCAATACCTTCAACCACCATGAACAACCATGAAAATGGAATAAATGCTTATCAACCTGTTTTAAAGCTGTAATAAAAAAAATATCTAAGCTCATTCACTCATAACCTTGCTCATTCTATCATAATTTCTTCTCCAAAACATCTGGGCATAGTTGCAATGCTTCGCGCCATCCTTTTGCGGTGAATTCTGGTTTACTCGACACCTGGGTTGTTTAATTTCAGTGAAATCCTAAGTTCTGGGTAGATAAGAGAAACTTAGGGGAGCTCAATTTTGTCAAAGGTAATCCTCGCACTTCAATTTCTCTACATTTCTGTTTTTATATCGCGAAAGTAGACTTCTCGTGAACTATACTGAAGTCTGTGAGTCAACATAAGGTTATTTTTGCAATTGACTTTTAAAAAGTAGACTTCTTTAAACATCACGAGAAGTCTACTCGATATCCTTTGAAAACAAAAAAAATCATAGTAGACTTCATCTGACGGCTTAAAAAGTCTACGAAAGAAAAGAGGTTATTTTTGTAGTTGACCGTATTTTGACTTTTTAATGTAGACTCTAACTGAAGTCTACTGTTTACGTCTGCACACGAAGTCTACATTTAAGTTACTTTTGTAGTTTGACCAAAAACGTATAGGTCATTTTTGTGTTTGACTTATGTTTTTCAAAAATAAAAAAAATTAAAAAATTTTCAAAAAGCTTCAGTAGACTTCACAAAGAAGTCTACAAACTGTAGACTTCTGAGTGAAGTCTACCTATTGTGTTCGGTCAAAATTAGAAGGAATATTTTTTTGAGTAGACTTCATTGTGAAGTCTACTAAAAAAATTCAATTGCAAAAATAACCTATTTTTTTCCGTAGACTTCTATTTAAAAAGTAGACTTCAAACGTAGACTGCCAAAGAAGTCTACTCTTATATGAAGTCTACAATAGAAGTCTACTGTGTTAGTCAATGCGGTGGTCAAATGCAAAAGTAACCTTTTTTGCCTGAAGTCTACACCTGAAGTCTACTGAAAGAAAAGTCAACGGAATGGTCAATTGCAAAAATAACCTTTTTTTAGTAGACTTCAGTAGTAGACTTCTCAATGAAAAAGTAGACTTCTCCTCCAGTCTACATTCGAAGTCTAAATAAGAAGTCTACTTTCCTATGTTTTTTTTAAAACGCGTTTTAAGTAAATGTATAAAATATTTTTCAAACTTTTTGGTTCAGAATTGCCTCTTATTAGGTGATTGAGCTACCCATTGAATTTTATCTCATTTCATTGGATATTCATGGTGGAATCAGAAGTTTCAATTTTTAAGATACTTAGCTTATAAACGTAGACTTCATAGTGAAGTCTACGTTCTAAGTCTGCACTAGAAGTCTACGTTTAGACGTTTTTGTAAAAACGCCATTTAAGCAAATCTATAAAAAAAATTTCAAATTTTTTTGTTTACAATTGTTTATTAATTAGTGATTGAACTACCTAGGGTTTTTTATTCCGTTTCATTGAATATTTCTTGTTGAATCAGAATTTTCGATTTTTAAGGTACTCAGCTTATCAAAGTAGACTTCATCGTGAAGTCTACTTTGATACAAAAAGTCTCTATGCAGTGTTTGCTAATACGGTTTATATGGTTATTTTTCAGAAGATGCTCAAATTCCAGTTGTGTACGGTGAGTGAAAGTTTAAGGAGAATTCATGGCACTTTGTTGTTGACATTGGTAAAGGTGGAAGAATGTGGTTTTTGAACGATGGTTGCACCTTTGGGCAGCTTACTGAAATGGCGCGAGATGATTATAACTTGGGCAAGAGGACTGAGATCATCGAGTTAACCTACGCACTACCAGTCTCAATGTTGCAAAATATGGCTCCAGATACACCTCCAATGCATGTCACCAATGATAGACAAGTTTCAAGCTTGATTGCGTTAAGCAGAGTACATTTGTTACGCCTTTGTGTGTCCTGTCGAGTGGAGATGGATACTGAGGAGAACCAGGAACGATCAGATGAAGAGTTTGGTGAAGATGTTGAGGAAAATTCAGAACATTCAACCGATGATGAGGTAGACAGTTCTGATGTGAACGACGATGGAGAAGATGTCGACGATGCAGCTTACTCTGACGGAGAAGATTACAGTGTCTACGGAAAAGTGAAAGATGAAGATGATGAAGAAGATGAAGTCTGTATTGAAAAGGTCAGAACCCGATATGGTGAAACAGGGAGCACGCCCATGTCATGGTCTGATAATATATATGTTGGGGTAAGTTTCCTTACAAAAGAGAAGCTGTTATCAGAGGTTAGACTGACTGCCATAATGTTAAAATTTGCTTTTAAAACACAGAAGTCTACCAAGAACCTGTTTGTGGCTAAATATCGAGTGGAAGGATGTGCATGGATGGTTAGATCGAGCGTGAAGAATGATGCATCCACTTTTTGGGTGACAAAATATGTGAAAGACCACACATGTTCAATAGCCCATCGAATGTCTCACCGTGGAAAGTCTACTCCTAAGTATATTGGCCAGCTGTTTATAAGCTATTTCGGCATAATTGATGGACTTACACCAGAACATGTCAGGGTTTCAATGAAGCATATGTTTGGCATCAGGATGGATAACACTACCTCTTACAGATCTTTGATATATGCCCAACAATTGTTCAGAGGAACAGCTGAAGATGGATATGCGAGTCTACCAGCTTACCTACATTCAGTGAACAAAGCCAATCCGGGAACTGTATCAGCTCTTCATGTAGATTCGAATAACAAATTCAAATATCTATTTATCGCATTTGGAGCATCGATTGCTGGTTTTCAGTACATGAGAAGAGTTATTGTGGTTGATGGTTGTCATCTAACAGGGAAATACGAGGGTACTTTGTTGGTTGCCACCGCACAAGATGAAAACTTTCAGATTTTTCCTTTGGCCTTTGGAATTGTTGATGGTGAAGATGATGCTTCATGGGAATGGTTTTTTTCTAAACTGCGTGAATGTGTCTCAGATGGTTATCCTTTGGTGATAGTTTCTGACAGACATATTTCTATTAAGAAAGCTTGTGAAACTATTTTCCCATGGGCAAAACGAGGGATCTGCTACTACCATCTACAACATAACATAGTAACAAAGTTTAGGGGGAAGCAGCTGTTGTACTTGGTTAAACGTGTGGCTTATGCTTACAATCTCTATGACTACAACCGGTACATGGCGGAGCTGAGACAGATCAAGCCTGACCTTGCTGACTATTTGGAAGAAGCCGATGTCTCTCTTTGGTCCCGAGTTCATTTTGTTGGAGACAGATACAATATTAAGACTAGCAATGTTGCAGAGTCTATAAATGCTGCACTTAAGAAGGCCCGTGGCTATCCCATTTCATTCCTCTTGGATTTCATCCGATAGAAGCTCGGTCGGTGGTTTTTAAAACGCAGAGAGGATGCTTTGAGTCTCACAACACATAATACTCGGGGAGTGGAGTATTTGCTGGCGATTCGTGGACATTATGCAGATGCAATGGAGGTGGACCGAATTGACACTTGGAGATACTATGTGAAAGGAGGAACCAGGAATTGTATTGTTGATTTGGAACATGGAATGTGTGAATGTGGTGTGTTTTACATCGAGAAGATCCCATGTTCACATGCTATTGCAGCTGCATTAGCCGGTGGGATATCTGTGGATTCTCTTGTATGTCCGACTTACTCAAAAAACTACTTGTTTGCAGCATACTCTGCCAACATATATCCCCAAATTTCAGAGGTCCAAGGAGGCCCAACTTCAATATGTCTGCCACCAGACATTCGCCGTGCACCAGGCAGACGGAAGAAGTCTCGGTGGCAATCATGGCTAGAAATTGCTAGGAGAAAAAGCAAGAAGCCAAGGAAGCTGCACAAAGTATACAGCTGCTCCCAATGCAAGCAACCTGGTCATACCCTACCGAATTGTGTAAGTTGAGCTAAACTCGAATAACAATGTTGCAATTTTTATTTAATATACTTAGCCGTCGAAGATTCACCAGGAAAATAACAAGAAGGCTCCGGAATAGGAAGACAAAGCATCTATTGTTCTCAAAGAAGTCTGCTTTGGAAGTCAACTTGCGAAGTCTATTGGTGAAGTCTACTTTCGAAGTCTACTATATGTGTGATATTTTGGTACAACGGTTATGTTTGAAACGACTTCATATATGTAACTGTTCTAACGACTTTAACGGTGCGTATAACCGTTGTACCTGTTTGTGTTCTGTATTTCTGCTTATAAATTCTCGGGTTTAGACGAGTTATAAGCTCATTCCAGACCCATTTGAAGATGTCGAACCCCTTAAACTTTAACTCTCTCCCTTCCGACATTCTGTGGGATATCCTCTTAAAAATCACTTCGCGTTCCTACGGTGGGCTCTGTAGAGCAAGGGTCTCCTCCAAACATCTAAATGAGATTTCTAATGAAGAGGGTTTTTAAGAGCCATTGATCTAATAACTTTGACGATTCCATGGGTCTGGGATCAACATGGGAGGGTTGACGCTTTCTTTCGGCGCTGTTTGGAGTGTGGAAATCCTACAGCGCAATACCTACGAGCCGTTTCTCTATGAAGATAGCATCCAAGAAGGATTTAACTTAATAAAGGTGTCATCAAATGGAGGATGCCTCATGGCAACTTACTCCATGGTTATGTTCGCTTTAACCATGGATGGTAGCCATGATGTATTTAGCCACATTCGTGGTATAGTTCCGGCAGAGGCAACGAAGATGCGGAAGACTGTGCAGCACATAAACAGGTATCCGACCACATATAAGAAGCCTGACGCGTTTCACGAACCGGTCTTCCATGTTTTTGATAAGGCACAATCAAGGAGTTGTGCTTGTATGAATCTGCCAAACCAGCACTGGATGGATGATGAACGCCTCGTGGACTCATATGGTGACAAACTCTGCAGTCCTTGCTTCTGGAAGTTGGAATGTGCCTTATTCTGGAAAACAATTCCTGGATTTGCAAATGAATGGCCGCAGTGAAATTAGTTGACTCCATGTTTTATGTTTTTTGGGTTTACTTATATGTTTACATGACTATGGTAGACTTCGTTTGTAGACTTCGTTTGTAGACTTATAATTCTTATTTTAATAAAACTTTTTCCTTGTACACTATCGGTGTACGCTTTTTCCGTATACACTTTTTCCGTCTACACTTTCTGGTATACTCAAAAATTACATAACTTAATCAGTTGTAAGGGTGAAATCGAAAATTAGAAATACTAACATGTTAATAGACTTAGTAGACTTCAGTACAGATACAATTACAACTTAGTAGACTTCAGTCAAAGACTTCAGTCGTAGACTTCAGTTTGAGTACAATATCCTAAACGAAAATACAACATATTTGGCAAGTTAATTATGAGATATGTGGCCAAAAAACTTCCACACCTATCATCTACCAATTGCTAAAATGACCTCCAATCACATTGAAGGTCATTTATGCAAGTAGCCCAAAAGTTGCCATAAAAATCAAAGTTAGTTTTAAGAACGGAAACACTAAGCTTGCCTATCATAAACATCCAGCCCGGTTGCATCTAGCTTATCATGGCCCTTACATCCTGTTTCGTCATAGATCTCTGCAGCCATTTTCTCCCTGATTTTTTGCATGTTTTTATCGCAGAGTTCCGGAGGAAATGGCAAATCCAATGCATGACACTCGATGTACTTCAGGCAGTACACTCCGCAATCACCACTCTGAATGTTTTGAGGTATCTCCGTACCTGGTACTCGCGAATGGGTGAACGGCGTGTTGGGGAATCTCCACTTGTCATCGTCAGGTGCACAGGTCTGAAGAAGGTAGGTAGGGTATCATAACCGCAAGAGGCTCCACAGCTTCCGCAATTTGTTCGTCAGATGCATGTTTGGTTCGCGCATGGCTATCCCAAACCGTGATATGCTTGGTCACAAATGAGACCAATATTGCTACCCAATGGTCCTCCCTAATGTGCAACATGGAGTACAACGAGTCCACATCATATGCCCACGTCTTCTTAGTCTGGCAGTAGATAGGTAATTCGCCAGTGTAGTACGAATATGCTCCAGGCGGCAGAAGTTTGCCAGACCCATCTGCATTCGGCTCGGATTTTTTGAACTCTTCGTAGTCCCGCCTCCAAACAGTAGCAAACATGGAGTTCAGGAAGCAAATCCGGTCGGATACAAACCACTCCGGATGCTTGGATAATCGCAGCCTGAGTAGGTTGATGTAAGCTTCCATGTGCTGCACATTGGGGAAAATAAGAAATGAGTGAAGTCTGCAAACGAAGTCTATTATAGAAGTCTACGGAAGAAGTCTACGGAAGAAGTCTACGGAAGAAGTCTAACCACGAAGTCTACTATGAGAAAGTAAAAGACTAACCGTATCAGCTAGCCATTTCGTCGGTGTCCGGAGAATGTAATATCAATCGATCGAAGAGTTTCTTGGGCGTTTTGGCCAGGCACTGTACAAGTGAAAGAGTTAGAAAGGAAATAATACTATGAAGAAGTCTACTTACATACGTATAGAAGTCTACTTACGGGTTTGATTTGATAAAGTTCATTAGAGTGGTATGCTTCGCCCTGACACCAGTTTGATCAAAAGGATCATATCCACGGGCACGGCCGGAGTGAGATGCCGACGATAGAATGATGGCCTTTGCGGTGCTGTTTCCTAAGAAGGGACTCTTCTGTGTCGCAGCCAGCTGGCGGTGTCGGGCACTCGTTGCTCGGGCAACTAGCTGAGCCGCTTCTCTGGCTTTGGCATTTTTGGCAAGTGCAACCGCGTCGAAGTCTACATTACATGTCTTCGGGTCAATTTCACAAATACTAGGCTCTGGGGCCTCTTCTTCATTCACGGCAGCCTTCTTTCCTTTTGCATCCCCGGGGGCGTTAACACTCTCACACGCACCAACGTTGACATTAGCTTTCATCGGAGCATCATCTTTCTCTGAATTACTCTGCAGTTTATTGTCAGAAACATGCATGAATATACAAATGAGTACACCAATGCTATAATTTAGTAACATGTTTTATCATAGTCTGAAAATTGTAAGCAACAAGTTTTGAAAACATAAGTAAATAATCTCACATGGTACATAACAGTAGTAAACATGTTCGAATTCAAATGACATTAGTATTAAGTGTTCCTAATTTTGTGTGATCTTGTTCGCATGTAATGTTTTCGTATAGGAGGAGGGTTTTTGGAACTAACCCCTTCATGCTTCTTGGATCCAGTGCCCTACTGCTGGGTTGGCTCTTCCTCAGTGTGCTTCGCCGACCCCGTAGTCAACTCTTCTACCACACGCTCTACAATTTCAACCTTCTCGGTGAGAAGTTTGATCTGCTTTTCACAGCTACCAAGACCATTCAGCATCTTGGTTGAAAAGCTTTTGAAGCATTGGTCGAAGTGCGCTTTCATAGTAGCGACAACTCCGACCCCTTCATCACCAACGAATGATGCGGCAGATGCAGAGGCTGTGCGGGATCTCTTGCGACTTGATTCATCTGAGGGAAGGCTCCTCTTTCCAGCTTCTGAATTGACGATGTGTGCACCCAAAACACCTTCCAAAGGCCAATGGTTTTTTGAGAACTTGAAATTGGGGTCATGGAGTGCATTGACAATCTTGACAATATCTGGATCCTGTTCGTCATCATCCCACACGGGAAACATATCCGCCAAGTCCTTAGCCACGCAGCACTGTATGCGAGCCTGGAAAAACACAATTAATAAATGGATTTAGGGCCATATGAAGCCTCGCTAAACTACGTATGAAGTCTACTCCTGAAGTCTAACAATGAAGTTTACTCCTGAAGTCTAACACAGAAGTCTACACCTGAATGTCAAACACTATTAATTATACATATAGAATTCTACACATGAAGTCTACTTCTGAAGTCTACTACACTAATACAGTACCTGTTTTAGCATGTTGGCTTTGACGTTCTTTCGTCCTCTGGATCCTTTGTAAGCCAGCAAAAGAGGTTCTTCAGTAACATTTGGCAATGGTTCGCCAAATTCAGCAGCAAAATCCGGTAGAGCATAGTACACCCACACTTGAAGAGCTTGCACAAATCCTTCTATATGAATGTTTTTGCTGAGATCTTTCTCCTTAACAGAATTAATCAAATGCTGAAAAGCAATTCTTCCCCATGGAAACTCCTTAAAACCTTCGAGATCCATCACTAGTCTGGCATGGTTGACATTTGTGGATGAGCCGGGTCTCGTTGCCACTATGAAACCAGCGTAGATCCCAAGATAACCCAACCGCAGCCTATCATCACGAGACCATGATGAGCAGTTGGAACAGGCTTCGATAATTTCGGTAGTGCTTGGGCCCGACTCGGCATCGACCCCCATTAGCTCCCAAAATGCACGCGTGTCATCTTCAAGCGCAAGATCAGTTAAAGCCAAGTCATCCACGTACCCGCAGTTGAGTCCGGTGATCTCCTCAAACTCATGCAATGAAAACCGAATTGGAGTGGTACCAAGGAGGCTCCATATCTCGTACCTCTGCTTGCAAACTATCTGAAAGGTCAGCATGTGGTGCACCAGCCTAGAAGCCCAACCAAAATCAAACTCGTGGAACTTTAAAAAGACACCCAACGGTGACTCGTAAATCTCTTCCCATTCATCCTCCTCTAGAGTTGACTTTAGTGCAGGGACCAGCCTATAATCATCAGCGTAATAGCCGATGCTTTTATCCGGGACTGGCTCAAACCCTTTGGTGTAAAGTCTTCTGGGGAATTCAGAGGCCATTATCTAACAAAGATTCCTGCATCAACGGTAACAAAGCTCTAATGAGAAAAACTAGTAACGGTTTGAAACTATACCCGAATGAAGTCTACATTTTCAAAATGAAGTCTACTTTATCAAAATGAAGTCTACTTTCCCAAAATGAAGTCTACTTTCCCAAAATGAAGTCTATTTTCCCAATATGTGAAGTCTACTTTCAGTAAAAGAAGTCTACTTTCACAAAAAGAAGTCTACTTTCACTAAATGAAGTCTACTTTCACAAAATGAAGTCTACTTTCACAAAATGAAGTCTATTTTCACATTCTAAGTACAATCCGAGTCGCGAAGTCTACTGAAGTCAACCGAAGCACCCTTAACATTTAAAAAACAGTATATGAAGCAATCAAAACATCATAAATACTACATATGAAGTCTACAAAACCCAACCGAAGCAATCAATACATGATAAATACTGTATATGAAGTCAATCTACAAAGTTTAGAGTGTTACCGCCTTTATTAGATGCAGCTGGCGCCGAGAAAATACAACCAGATCTAGTAAAAAAACCTAAGTCAAACCCGACGGTTACAAAAATTACAGGAAGATAGAAGAAATTTAAGAATTGCTAAGTATATAACTTCGGAACAACATCTACTAACCGTTTTGAGGCAGGAAATTACTTTAACCTCCAACGGCGAAAGCAAATCTGCAAAAAAAAAAAAACCCTAATTTCAGATCTGGAAATGGGGGTTTAGAAAACGGAACGGTGATGAATACGGAGGAGTAGGGAAGCATGGGGGTGTGGTTGGAGAAAGAAAACTTGCCTTAACGAGTTTATCGGCGGCAGTTCTTAATGTCGACGGCGCCGGAGCAGAGAAACGGAAATCGCCTTTGAGTTTTTTTTTTTACACGAACTTTTCGACGGTTTTTTTTAACGGGATCTGTAATTCGTATATATAGTCTGGTAATTCCGTATGGTTCGGGTAAGTTTTGTCCGGTAAAGTTGCTAATTTTCCGGGGTCTAGGTTAATTTACCCGGTTAAGGGCAGTTTCTCTTGGTTAAGGGAAGTTATTCCCGGTTTAATCTCGGTTAAATGTCCGTTAGGTTAATTTTTACGGTTTAGTAGACTTCAATATCGAAGTCTACAACTTTTAAAACCTAAATAATAAATTTACTTCTACTTAATTTTAAAACATACATTTCCATTTACCAATGTGAAAAAATAATTTTTTTTGCATTTGGGTTACGATTACGGAATTTATGATTGTAAATTTCATACCAAAATAATTTTTTATAAATTTTTAAATTAAATTTACAGATTTAATTACTTAGTAGACTTCATTTGATAGTAGACTTCAGTTTTACTTTAATAAACTTCGTCAGGGAGAAAACGGTAATTAGGACATCCGTTTTTTGTTTACTCATACATGATTAAATGGTCTTTTCACTACCCTTGTAGGTTATATCTGCTAAATGTTTTTTCAGGGGTCTACTTTTGTATTCAAAATCAAGTTTTGGGTTATTTTTAGCAAAAACCCCTTAAAATAAATCAAAGTAGTTAAAGATTTATATGGGTTTTATTTGGGTTTCAGGAGGATTTCGTGAAATCTCAGTGGAAGAGTTCGCAAAAGTTCTTATGCACATTCTCTCTGATTTGAAGAATCTTTGTACTCAGCTATTCAGGTCAGCTAATATCACCAACGAGGTTCCAATATTGAAATAGATTGACTGTTTCAATGCTAGAGAGGCTCCAATCAGTTGTAGAAACAGTGGACAAATGTTGACAGAGATTGGGGAAGCATTTCTGGAGAGACTCGAATCAGTTGAATTGAAGCAATAGTGGAGATCCTTAAGGAGGGCAAAAAGTAGGTCTGCTTGACGAGTTTTTGTTTCCTCCACGTATAGCGTCTATATTTTCATCCTACATTTGAGGGTTTTATGTTTACTTGGATTGCTATTCAAAACCAAAAACAAAAAAAAATGTTTACTTGGATTATTTTCTAAAAGGCAAAATATTAAAACATTTTCGTAGATTATGTTATTTATTATTATTATTTTTTTCATGGATTAAGTTATTTCCAATCAAGCGTTGAATGTGCCATAACTTACGTGCCTTCGTGTAATGCCCAAGAAAAACAATTGTAAATCTATTTCAAACAACCATCCATTAGATTAAACCAAAACTTAGTTCTGAGAAAGAAGGCAGAGATATTTCTCCTTCTTGTGGTCTGAAAAGATATTGCATTGCCTTCATGTTAGCTCCTAACACAAATCTTAGGCAATTCATTAACTAGCATGTTCAAGTTCAGGATTGAAATCTCAATAGTTATTAGCAAAATACAAGACATTTGGTTTAGCTAAATCTAGAAAGAAGAAGGATTTTTTACTATACTCCAACATACCTGACGCACTCTCCAAAACGAAATTTAAATTCTTGGCCTATCAACGAATGAACCAATTCAAATCAGGGCTATACTGTCAAAAAAATCAAGCTTAAAAGTCCAGGTGAATCCGGTGCTGGTAGGATTCGGCTTTCAGTCCAAACTGCAAGGAGATCATCGACCATTACCTCCTGCTAAAAAAATATGGGTAATACTTCAGGCTAATCCGATGATACCAAATTTACATATGATATATTTTAAAGTTAGATACAAGCGTTTTTTACTAACTTGTCCGATTGTATATTGTTTGTGCATGGTGTCTTTCATTTTCTTAAACAATTATTTTCGAATATGTTATACAACTTTTAAGTGATTTCGAATGCTTTATTTGAACATTAAATATAGGATGACCAATTTGAATAGTGAACAACATCACAGTAAAGTATCGATACCTTATTCCTACATTAGATGATATGCTTGATAAATTGCATGGTTCTAGCATCTTTTCTAAGATTGATCTTAAAAGTGAATATCATCAGATTATGATGGAGGGTGATGAATGGAAACCTGCATTTAAAACTAAGCATTGTCTATATGAATGGCTTGTTATGCCATTTGGTTTGACAAATGCACCTTGTACATTCATGCGACTAATGAATCATGTTCTTAGAGTCTTTATAGGCATATTTGTAGTCGTTTACTTTGATGACACACTGGTTTATAGTAAGAACCTAAAAGAGCATGTAGATCACTTGAACTCTGTTATATGCAAACTTTAAGAAATGCACATTTTATACAAATAACCTTGTGTTCTTAGGTTTTGTTATGAGTGCAGATGAAATTACGGTCGACAAAGAGAAAATTAAAGCCATTAGAGACTGGCCAAGTCCCAAAACAGTTAGTGAAGTGCGAAGTTTTCACGGTTTAGTGATAACATCGTATTTTGACCACTTTTATGGATCGTTTTGAAATACTATTTCTATAATTTTTATTGCTTTCAAGTGTTTTTATTATGTTTTTCTAGTATTTGTAGTTCCAAAACTTTTTTCAGGAAACCTAGGGAAAAGCTTAACAAAATGGATAGAAGACCAGATTTTCAGCTCAGAGTCAAACCGTCAGAAGTTCACCCTCAAATGAAGACCTTCTCACCGTCCGATCCAGATAAAATTTGGAAACCTCAAAGATGGAACTATCATCTTTCCAGCACACTTTACAGCTTGACAATCCAATGGTTCAATCAAAAGTTACACGAAGAGCAAGATATCCCGTAAACCAGGCGGTAAGCATTTCCACACGCGGCCAACAGCCTTTTCACCACGGTCAGAAGCTATATGACCGCGGCCAAGCATCCATTCACCGCGGCCACATCCTTTCCGACTGCGGCAAGCCATCTCTGATTTAGAAGGCCCATTTCTGAAGCCCAAGTCATTTTCTCAACCTCAATTCCGGAACCCTAGAGACCATGGAGCATTGGAAACTATAAATACTTATCATTTAGGTCGTTTTTAGAGAGAGATGAAATACTTTAGAAAAGATACAACTTTAAGCTCTTGTTTTAGGTTTAGGGAGAGAGATCTATCTCTTGAACCCTTTTTGTTTCTCTGTTAATTTTGATTTCCGCTCTACTTTTTAATACTATGTTTTTGCTTTCGTTCATCATGTCTGAGTAGTTTTATTGTTGGGTTTAAGAGATTTTCGATGAGGATTTCATTAGCTATTGAAGTCGAATCCTAGAACTTTATCTTCTAAACTTATTTATAATGCATGAGAGTAGCGTCACGAACAACAATCTAATCCCGGTTTTGGGTGTTGCGAAAATTTTCATTTGAGGCCAGATCTAGTTCGAGAAGAGCAGATCAACCATAGGAGTGGAAACCTACGTATGGGAGAGCTGTGAATATTGATGAGTCTTAAGCTTACCGCATCTTTTCTTTTCCAGGGCCAGAGTGGAAACCTACTGGTCAGGGTTGAGAGAGATAGTTGGCTATGATCACGACAGTGGCGTATTCATACGTTCGTGATTCAAATTCTATAAGTTTTAGCTAGGATCTTACTAAATTTACTTTTTAGCAATGTTTTGAATCGTTCATCCCCCAGAGAGAATTTCTCTGAAAACCCAGCGCCTTCTTTTCTATAGATTTACATCGATTTCCATTCATAATTTAGTCTAGTATTTTACTCTTTCAGTCGATTTTCATACAAGCAAATTAGGTCTAGCCGTTTTCTCGTTTTTAGTTGATTTCTTTAACTTTAGTTATTAGGTCATGTTAATTCCCGTATTTTCCCGTTAAGATTAGTTTTTACGTTTTAAAGACACCACCAAAACCCTTACAAAAATTGCCTGGTTCTAGACTTCCTTACTTCACATTTTTTTCGAAGGTTTTTGCAGGAAAGATTCTCCTTCCCTGTGGATTCGATCCCTAAGTACTACAATTGATCAGCTGTGCACTTGTGGCTATTGATTTCATTTAGGGTAAAACTTGACAACCCTAACACACGACCACATCACTTAGCAGGCTTTTATAGAAGATTTGTGCGAGAGTTTAGCACCTTAGCCGCACCCCTCACTGAAGTAATCAAAAAGGACGTGGGTTTTAAATGGGGAGGAGAACAGGAGAAAGCCTTCCAAACCTTAAAAGACA